TGTTTTTTGTTTTATTTGAGTCTTTCAGATGTAAAAATAATTATTTTTTTGTTTATGATTGAATAAATTTACTTTTTCATCAAGTTTTGTATTTGATAAAATTTTTTTCTTCTTTTTTTTCTTTGTTTGAAATTCACCACCATTTTCTTTAACAAGACGTGTTAATAATTGAACTTTTTTATTTAACTGTTCAACACGAACATTGGTTGAAGCAACAAGTAAAAGAGTTGTATTTGTTGAACGCGTACGTGATACACGTAATAACATTAAATTTGCCTTTACAATATAATTTATTTCAATAATCTTTTTTTTTTATCTTTTACTATACTTTTGTTCTTTTACAAGATTGTAAAATACGATCAAGATAAAGACTAAGATCATATTTTAATGTTGTTGTTACTGTACATGGTTTAATAGGAATTTCAATAGTACCAAATTCAGTTTTTTGTGCATCTAACGCATCTTTTAATTGTGACGCAAGATTAACACGTCGATTTCGATCATTGAAATGTGATTGAAGACGTATGGTATCGAAAACATTAATAGTAAAATCAATTAAATCTTCAGTTGCTGTTAATAAATCTATTTGAAAAAATATTCCAGTTTAATTTTTGTTTTTTTTTGTAATAAATAACCTGATAAAACAAAATCCGCTGTTGGATCCGTTAACGATGTATTACGATTACACATTAAACTAAAATCGATTCGTCATTGAACTTGCTAAAGATTAAAAAAAATTAGGATTATATTAAATGTATAAATTTAGCGCTTTTAGTTTTCAAAAATATGTTGGATTTGATAAAATTCGCGCTTATTCGTATCGATTGGTTCTGCTTATTTTTCATTTATTAATATTTCTTTTAATCCAACAAAAATGAACACAGTTGAATGGATGAATTTTCCGGATACTCAACAAGTAAAACCTCATTGTCAAAAATGTGGACGTCGAAGTCGAGATCACAAAAAATATATAAATAATCGTCGATTTAAAAGTGAACAACGTCATTATCATAATGGTCATCGACGACAATGCCGTCTCTTTCCACAAGAATTACTATCATATCCAATTATTACTCCAACAAATGATAATCATTCTCAAAACCAACCATGTTCCAATGATAACAATATACTTATTGATCAATTAATTGAAGTAAAACAAGTAGATCCTACGAGATGTCATATTCCAACTCATAGTTATGATAATGATTATAAAAAAGACGCAAAGCAGACGCATAGGAATCCAGTGAACATAGACAGATTACATCGAGTTCAACAAATGGTTTATCTTAGAGAAAATATTAATAAGTATAATCAAAAATATGATAAATAAGGACATGTATTAATTATTTTAGTTTAAATTATCGAGAATATCATTTCTCAAGTGAATATATTATTTTAAAAAGATTAGAAGAAAAAAATCATTTTATCAATCAAAATTATTATAAAGTTGATCAATATTTTCGTCCATTAAAACTTCAATATCAAACAAAGATGTTAGTCTAATCTTTTTTCCTACGATTTAATAATTTCTCTATACATTAGTATGTTATTTCAAAATACAACTATAACTTCATTTACTTATTCTAAACAAGATCTTACTCAAATTGAATCGATCGTTAAAACACCATGTTCAATCTCTGAAAATATATCTAATGATACAAATACTTATTCATCCTTAGCAAATGAACAATCTCTTTCTACACTTCTTAATATGAATGATACAACAGATTCACTTGCGTTTATCACATCTTATAATAAACAACAATATTCTCAAAATGCCGCTTCATCGGTTCAGAACAATTGGAATCATTTACAATCAACATTTTGTAATAAAGATCCGTATCTACTACAAACATTGAATATACCTTTTCTGAAAACTGATCAACAACTATCAACAAATACGAATTTTTCTAATCTAGTAAAATACTATTTTTTAATAACAAAAAGCCAAGGAATCTTTTCCATAGATTTACAATAAACCACTTGAAACCAATACTTGCTTTCCTAATAACAATTATTTATCTCTTAGTAATTTTCGTACTAAATCTGAAAGTCAAAAATCTCTATCTTTTACGACTACAAATACAAACAGTGAAGAAAATAGTCAATCAAGAAAATATACTCAAATTATTAACAAAATCAAAGAAATCTTACATATTATTCATAATAAACTAAATGAGAAAAAATTAAATATGTTGACTTCATCTACACAAATATCAAATAAAATCAATGAATCAACTTCAACAATAATGACAACTGATTCACTAATATCTAATACAAGTATTCAAACAACTTATTCAGTTTCTTCGACATTACCAATAATTAATATTGAAAATCGAACTAAATCTCATATTAAATTACTGAATCTCGCAAAAAATCTCAATACTAATCACCAAGCAAGTGACGATGATGAGCTACAAACCTCTTTTCATTATCCTCGATCAAAAAGGGTTAGACAAACAAGAGATTTTTTTCTAATCTGAAATCTATCATTTAGTTTAAACCTCACCGATCTATCAAACAATACATGTCTCCATCATTTATGTTTACTTTACAAATATTACTTATTGCATGTTTTCTCAATCGATTTTTGATAAATTTCTATTTTAATAATGCTCTATACGATCCTTATACTTCAATGAATGTTGATAATATACAATCGATAACTCCAGTTTCATATACAAATCATGAAATAATTAAGAATTTTTTATCATCATTTTTTTAGATCTAATAAATATCTCTTCAAAAATAAAATTATGCATACCGACTAATATTTGAAACATCTTGAAAAAAAGACAATGTATAACCATAGAATGAAATTTTTACCGTAAAATTCAGTTAATCGTTCAATATAAACTATTCAAAGGCATTAGTTAGCTAGCAACCACAATCGATCAATGACAGACACGTTTTAGATAGGTGTAGAATAATATCTAACCATTTAAATTTCTATTCTAGATGTCGCTTAACAACAAAAAATATAGAATTTGTTAATTCATTTATATATACAAAAAACTTAAGTTCGAAAAAAGAATAAATAAATATTATTTCCAAATTGATATTTCTTTTTTTCCAATCGTAAGATAGATTTGTTCTGGATTATCTAATTTACAAATATGTTGAATCCATGTTAAACATGCATTATAGTCATTTAATAATGATAATTTTAATGAATCTCTTTTACATGAAAATCGTAAACTAATTAAATTTGATAATGAATATAAAACTTTTTCTATGATTAATCCAATATTTTTATTAAGTGTTCGACTTGATTGAACATGAATCCAAAAATGTTCAAGATTTGGAAATATTTTTAATATTAAATCAATATCTTTCCAATGAATAATACCATCAGCTCCGTTACCATATATACGAAGTTCGGTAAATCGTTCAAAAGAAATATTTCTTGGTAAATGTTTACATAGATAAATAAGATCACCATACATCATGGTTAAAGAATGTAAACGAGGTGCAACAATATGATTAGCAGCAAGATACATTAAAAAAGGAATATTGACTTGACATTTTGTTGAACGTATATAACGTAAAATAGTTAAATTAGGTAATCGTAATTGTTTTATATTATCTATTGAATCATGTATATTAATAGAAACAATATCGAGTACTTGAATATTAGGAAAACGACTAATAACATTTAACCAATCATTAACGGATGTTAATTCATGACGACCATCAAAACATAATGTATTAACTCGTCGTGCTCGTTGTTTAAATAGATTTATATTTGTTGATTTAGCTTGACTTGCGTATGGTGAAGTCATAACACCTGTTGGACTATCGAATTCATACGGGATCGCATCAATAAATAGTACTCGAGTATCAGCATAACAACAAACTTCTAAACCATTCTCAGCAAATGTTTTTAAATATGGTGTTACATCGATAGGTACTTTATTAAATCCAATCCAGATTTTAAGACCTAAATCTAATCGAGATAATTTTGTTAAATTAGAAAATAATTCTTTCCAACGATGACCTTGACTATATTGTATATCATCTGTTTCTATTTCTAATGAAAGATGTTCAATTGTTGGCATATGTATTAATATATTATATAAATCATCGAAAATTAGTAAACGTTTATCTTTAACCCATAAATGAAAATCTTTTATATATTTTGGCATTATATCAGTTGTTGCATATTGTTTTGGTGCATCCATTGAAAATACGCTTATTTCAACATGTAATTTAATAAGATAAGGTGCACGTCGAAATATTAATATTAAATCATCGGATGTTGCTACACTTATAATTAATTTTTCAAGATATTCACATGTCATTATATTTATATTATGTTGTAATTTCATACCTTCTTCAGAATCGTAGAGTCTCAATTCTTTAATTTTATTTGGTGTACAAAATAAATATTGATCAAGAAGAATTTTTGTTGAATGTGATAAAGATATTTGAGCATCAATATCAATCATAACTTTTTCAATTGAAAGTATTTTTGGTATAATATCAATATCTCTATTACTAAAATTAACCAACCATATTTGTTTAAGACAAGGTAAAAGATCATGAAGTGATTTATATTGAAGAATATATTCATTAAAGAGAGCGATTTTTCCTGGTGAATACCATGTATTGATAGTAAGTTTAACAATGTATTCAACATTATAAGGTAGTAAACGGTGATAAAATTGTTGAAATTGATTTAATGTTAAATGTTGAAAATTAATATCACATCGAAATTGTCTTATAGTTTGTTCGAAACGACTGTTTAATTGTTCGAATCCATTGAGAACATCTATTGAATTTAAATAGAGACAAATTTCAATTAAGATTTCATCTGGTAAATCTTCTAATTTTGATATAAACATATTTGTTTTGAACATGCAACCCATCGATTAATAATATATATGTTGTTTTCTTGGTCCCACACGTACTATTACCTTGTTTTTTATTCATATCACTAATATATACAAGTACGATATAGAGGTAAACATAAAGAACGAGGAGAAAATACTAAATATATATATATGTATATATCATTTTATTACATAAGACATTGAAAAATTTCGTTTAGATTGATGAAAAATAAATAGTAAACACGTAGAAATCTCATCTTATTGTTATTTATTTATACATTACAAATGTATCATATACAATAAGACAAGATCAATTGACAAAAATAATCTTTATATTCAGAGTTTTCCCTTAGACAAAGAATACTGATAAATTGTGACAGATACAAGGTGGTTTAACTTGATGATAACCATCATTGTGTATATATATATATACATTCTATAATAGACTGTCATGAATATGATATCTGAATAAGATTGTAACCTTGAGTATCATTTCATAGTCTAGCGTCTTTTTACAAGGCTATTTAATCGAAAAAAGATGACATACTTTTAATCAAAAAAAATAAACTTTTAATTTTTTATAAAAGCGAGTGGTATGAAAATTTTAAAAAATAACATATAACTACTGTTTACGAGTATATTTGAATGAAGAAAATGTCAGTTTTTATGAAATCCTATTTGTTATCTCATATATTATTTACAGAAATATGAACTCGGAGAAAGATTATTATGATATTATTCATATAGAAAAATGATTACTTATTTTGTCTAATCTTTCGATGTTGAAAAGATCTTTTTCGTATATGTTGATAATTGAATTCATAGAATACTTCGTTTAGTTATTAATGTAAAAATTTTCATAAGTCGTATGACATATGCATTTATAAAATCTAAAAAACCATTTTGCTGATAAACCAAATGGCATGACTATTTTTTTTCTAAATATACAGCAAATCATCTAAATTTATTAATATATATATTAGTAAATATTGATTCAGTTCTTGTTCAAATAACGAGTATAACGTCCTAAGTTTTTTTCATTATCACACTGGTTAACTTTTATCGGAGATAGATAAATCTCAATATGTTATATAATAGAAATTTTTTTTGCTACCGGTTGATACTTCAGAATTGAAGATTGTTGCAATATCTGAAAAGTGCATTGTGAAGAATGCAGTTAAACCTTGTTTGAAAAATGAATTAACTTCTTCAAAATATATGTAATGTAAAACAAGGTTCACTAAAATAATTTATTTTTGTACAAAAATCCCAGTCTACGATAGATTTAGTTATGCTTATAAATATATACAATTTTATCGATTGAAAGAATGTTATTTAGAATTCAAAGAATCACCTATAGTTTTTCTATGAAAAGGATGCCGATGAATATAAATAAAATATTCTTTTAATACTGATAAAAAAGATGAAATTTATAGCGTACTTTTATTGAAATAGAATGCACCACTGAACTCTAGTGCATGTCTTGAAGTATCTGAGAGCTTGTTTTTCAAAAATATTTTTTTCTAAAAATGTACTCTTTACTAATGGCTGTTAAATACTCGGTATGTTATGATTATTTCACTTCAGTATATCAGTCTTTTATTCTTCTACCTTCATTTTGATATATACCTTGGTATAATTATTTTCATTTAAACTACCAATAAAATGCATATAGTTTCAATACAACACATTCGAATGTTCATTATTGGACAACTTCTTATTTATGCATCGGTAAAAAGCCTATCTGTTGGGCGTGTAACTGGGGCACGCTTTACTAGTCTTAATCGATTGAATGTAGGTTCTATGTGGTTATCTACTTTTAATTCTTGGTATGAATGCATGTGTTCAGTTATATCTATGAATTTATCATCTACTGCACTTGCTTTAAATATGTATCAAAATGGTTCATGTCAATTGTTTGTTTCATTACCATTGACATATACAATGGAAACGAATCAAAATTCAACTTTGATTTTACTACAAGAATTACCACCGAAAAATCTTGCTCCTTGTTGTTCGAATATATCTTGGTTAATCGGAAAAATGAATTCCTCTCAACAAGCATCGGGGAATATTAGTAAACCTAACTTTGTTTTTATTGATGATAATGATTATCTTGTTTCGGCCGTTTACAAAGGAGCAGTTATCCAATTCAATCGAACGACACTCAATATCATTCGATCAGCAACATTTGGTAATGATACTATGAGTATTAACTATCACAATGGTTTATATTATGTTGGTAAGTTCAACTTTATCTGTAAATCTTCATGTATAATGTAAAATTTGAAGTACTTAAAAGAATCCCTCAAAGTATTTTTTTTGAAATATCATGCTTTTCTTTAAAATCATTTTAAAAACTTCACAATTGAGTATCAAAACATGATTATCATAAAAACAATTATAGTCACCTGGTTTGATACTTATATTTTGACATAGAATAAAAGTTCATTGTTATCGAGGTCAGACACGATTAAATTAATCATATGAACTTTTCTTTTTTTTAGCTGATTGTCCAAGCAGTTGTAATATTTACGTTGTATCTTCAAAAAATTTATCAGTAGTAGCTAATTTTTCATTATCAAGCAATATAATTCGTGAAATAATTTTTATACGCAACAGTTCATTAATGGTAGTTGCATCAAATGGTAAAAATCAAACACTTTTCCTCAATGTTCTCTCACTATCGAATTATACATCATCAACACCATCGTATATTTCTGTAAATCGACCTTGCGGATTATACGCAGTCAATGATTCATTTATCTATATTGGTTCATGGTATTCTACAACTACTTTAACACCAGTATCAACGTTAACATATTCTAATAATACATGGTCTTTGTCTACATTACCAAATACAACACCAAATGGTACTCAAAAAATCTTTCAAACAACAATCGATAGTTGTGGTCGTCTTTGGGTAGCGATTAATGGATATGGTATTAAAATTTATGATCCATGGGGTTATACATTACTTTATAGTTGGCAGGTAACAACAGGTATGGATGGTTTTCATCTGACGGATAATTACGAACTTTTTATTGCTGATTTTTCCGCAAATAAAATTCTTCATTTCAATCCGAATATTGATCAATGTACATCATAATTCATTTTTATGAACAATTTGTTTATTATAATAAAGAAAAACAATTTTCCTAGAATTTTTTATTTTATGACAGAGAAACCGTCTTTTATTAAATGATTTAATAAGAAATAATGCAAAAAAAATAAAATGTTTATATTCATTTCCAAATTGATAACAATTTTTTATTTATTGTCACATGAATTTGTTCATGTTTAATGAGACCACATATTTGTTTAATCCAAATTTTACAAGCTTCATCATCGGTAAATGATGAGAATTTCAACGAACTTTTATTACATGAGATTCGAAAACTTATTAATTCAGGTGATGAACGTAGAATTAATTCAATAATTGGTTCAAGATGACGATTAATAAATCGACTTGATTGATTATTAAAGAAAAAATGATATAAACAAGGAAATGTTTTAAGTAAAAGATCAATATCTTTTAAAATAACATGACCATCAGCATCACCTCCATATAACCAAAGTTCTTTGACTCGTACAAGACTACAATCAGGTAATCGTTTACATAAATAAATTAAATCACCATACATCATTGATAAAGCTTTTAATTGTGGACTAACTATTGTATTATTTGCAAGAAACATAAAAAAAGGTACATTTACTTTACAACTTGTTGAACGAATATAATGTAAATAACCAAGATGTGGTAATTGAAATGTTTTATCATTAATTTTCATATTATTATCATCATTTTCTCGTATATTTACTGAATTAAGTTGAAGTATTTCAATACCAGGAAATCGATCAATTACAGATAACCAATCATTGACTGATGTTGAATCATGTTGTCCATCAACAATAAGTGTTTGAACACGTCGAGATCGTTGATTAAATAATTTTGTATTTGTTGTTTTAGCTAATTTAGCTTTCGGTGATGTTGTTACACTCATATTTGTATCAAATTGTATCATATTATATGGTACAGTATCAATATGTAATGTTTTAGCATCAATATAACAACATATAGGTAAATTTGTTTGTTGAAATGATTCTATTATTGAATCAATATTAATAGGCATCATATCTGTTTTTAACCAAATTCGTAATTTAAAATAAACATGTTTTAAATTCGATAAACATGATAACATATTTTTCCAATTATATCCAACTGTATAATCAACATCATTTGTATCCATATCTAATGAAAGTAGTTCAATTGTTGGTATGTTACTAACAAGTTTATCTAAATCTTCACATGAAAGAACACTTTGATTTGTTGTTTGAAAATGAAAAAATGTTAAATGTTTAGGTAACATATCTACAGTTGCATTTTGTCGAAGGTCTTTTACAGGTTGTTGAGTTATTTCAACATTTAAACTACGAAGATTTGGTGAACGTCGAAATACTAATATAAGATCATCTAATAAAGCAACACTTATTGTTAATCGTTCAAGATATAAATTTTCTGAAATTTTAATATCATGTTGTAATCGAATTCCACCTTCAACACCCCATAAACGTATTTCTTTAAAATAATATGATGAACAAAAAAGATATTTATCCAATAGAATATGTGTTGAATATGATAACGGTACTAATGCATCAGCATCAATAAATATTTTCTCAATTTTATCAAGTTTTGAAAGAATATCAATGTCATTATTTGTAAAATCAATTAATCGAAGTTGTTTTATATTTGGTAATAATTGATTAAGAGAATGATAATTTTTCATTAATTGATTAAAAAGATAGATTTGTCCTGGAGAATTCCAATTACTTACAACTAAATTTACAATAGAGTCTGCTGTATAATATAATAAATGATTACTCCATCGTTGAAATTGATTTAATGTTAAATGATGAAGATCAGCATCACGTCGATATTGACTTATAGTTAATTCTAAACGATTATTTAATCGACCAAAACTATTAATAACATCAAATGGTCTTAAATAAGTACAAATATCAAGTAGAATCTCATCGGGTAATTGTTCAAGTCTGGATAAATACATACTGCATAATATTAATCGTTTATATGATACGTTTTTTTTTCTTTTCTCGTGCTGTCTTTTTTTTTTCTTTTTTCTTTTTTATAAAACGACGCGTCTTTTGTTACTTTTCGTCGCCAATATATAGAGAAAACCTTGCTGTCAACGTATGTAGGTAAAACAACGAATCATGATAACAGCAAAACATTACGCATCAATATCATTCTAAATTTTTTGACAGAATCAAAGAAAAAGAAACTCGATTCAATTTCAATGAAATTTAATCATATGAAATAATGAAAAGACATGTGGTTATGATATGATGTCGATTGAAAACGAAAATATTCTTTTCATGAAGAATAATTTCATCAAGTGCGAAGGTCGATAGTATTTTCAGCTCAGCTGTTAATTTTCTATGAATAAGGTAGAATTATAATTTAGTTTATTAGTCTTTTCTTGCAATGAACGAATACTACTTTAAAATCAGAGATAAAAATCTATTCATTGTTTTTCGTAAAAGATCAATTTTGTGCGTTAAGTTTAGTAAATGTTATTTATATTCGAGGAATAATATTGAAAAATATATGCAATAGAGGCCGATTGAATTATTTTTTCTATGTTGTCTTGTATTTCATTAGCATATTGTGCTTATGTGTAAAATATACTAATTTATATAATATATATATTAAGAATACATGATAGGTTCGTTATGTCTAGTGATATATTCACCTTGAACAACACATTAATGAATAAATTATAGAAATTAGTTCAGAAATAAATGATGTTGATTATTTTTTACCAATTTCATTGATATTTATATCACAAAAAAGGAAAATCTATACAATTATCATTCTAATCGAATATAATATGTATTATCATTACTATTTCTTCAAGTAATAATAATACTCATCGTTTCTATTAATCGATTGATGATAACTGAGTATATACTGACTATCTCAACTGATAATTTTGTTGATTTAATCTTTATTCATGATGCAACATTCGTATACTATCATCAAAAATATAGAAGTGTTGATCAATAAATAAATTTCGAATGCAGTCATGTAGAACAAAAAAACGGAAAACATTAACTGTGTGTTGAAAATATCAACTTCACCTTAATTTTTATGTCGACTATACAGGAAAATTGAGTCATACTTATTTATCACCTGTGAACTGATGCATACTAATAGCAATAATTATTGAAAGATATCCGATCATGTGATACTGTATATCACATACGAAGAAAAACATTCCTTTTTCTTCATATCAAATTTTACGCTTTAAATTCGATTTACTGATACAAGTGTATACACCATTAGATGCAGCATGCCCTAGCCTGTCTTGTATGCATAATATAAAAATAAAGATGTATTGACTTTATCTAATATATACTAATTCCTATACAGAAGATTATAAGGTTAGTCATCAGCATTTTTAGAATATATGCTATAACAAGCGATAGAACTTACTCACAATTGATACTCTGTTAAATGGGTAGTGTACTTTTCTTTAGTTGTTTGTCTATAATTGAATCATGAATGACTATGGTAGACGCAATCCATTTTTATTAACTAAAAATACAAACTCTAGAAACGAAGAGAATGCTCGTTTTCATGAATACAATAAATATGAAACTGTTTTACCAGATTTTGCTATACACTCACACAAGTTAGTTATATGTAAATAGATTAAAAAGAAAAGCAATGTTAAGGACAAACAAAATTGCAGACTAGTCTAGTCTAGTTCATTTTTTTTTTGTGAAATTTGACTAGAATAAATTTCAATGCCATCCATTTTTATTAAGAAGTTTATCTTCATTAAGAATTGTTTTCCAATCAACTTCAAAATATTTCTTATCATAACCTTCAACTAAATCCCATTCTTCATTTTTTTCACTTAATGTTCGTGATGTTTTTGGAAGAATACTAATCACTTGTTTAAATGGTAAGACTTCTAAATGATTTGGACGTGCTGAATCATGAGGTAGAAGAATACCTAAAGAAAAGATTTATTTTATCTAAAGGAAAAAGTTCTATATTTTACCTATTTTACGAAGAAATTCAATGGATTGATCACTGTTAAATGTAACATCGGTATTTGTTTTTGATTGAATCCAATTTTCTATAGCAATTTCAAGATTCTTCTTTGTTAAATCACCCTTTTGTTGTTGTTTCCACAAGATAAACATATACACAAGTAAACTAGAAGAGAATGGAATTATTATCAACATCTATTTTGACTTACGAGGGAACCTTTTCAGGTGTTGGTCTCGGATTTCAATTATTTTCCGATCCATTAGTACTATGTAGTGCCCTAATAAAAACCCTAAAAGGATTTGAGTTGATATTCATTCCTTCAAAG